GTCTGCCTCTCTTTCCTTCCGCCCCTCTCACCCCTGGTTGACGGATGAATGTATCAGAGCCGTGCAAGCGAAGACAGCCGTGGCTGGGACTGACCTTTTCCCGGCAGAGTGTTTAAAGACGAGTAAAGTTTCAATGGGAGCTCATAACGCCCACATTACCCGCACGCGAGAGAAGCTTTCTCAGGAAAGACGGGGGGGCAAAAAGTGGTGGAGCCTGTCTGAGCAGATCAGGTAGCTCGCCTTTGAAGTTTCAGAACGGTAGTTGGGCAGTGTCTAGTTCTGATGGCGAATCTGTTTGCAGAGTCGTTCAGTAGCAAGTGGTGTTTACCAGACGCTGAAAATAATGAATTTTTAGATCTGTCCTGGATTATGGCCCCCCCTGACTCCCCCTCCTTCCTCCGCGCCCGTGTCCGTGCCGCGCGCCAGTTTTTAAGTGCGCTCAGGGCGGGCAGCGGCGCGGGGCCGGACCTTCCCCCAACGCGGGTTTTGAAAGCCTGCGCTCGGGAACTCGCTGTCCCTGTTGCCCTGGTCGCCCGTTGAATCCTTCAGCAGGGGCGATGGCCTGAAATTTGGTGTCAATTTACGCGTGGTGCTCTCACATACCCAGACCACTATAGAGGGCCCCAGTTGACTTCCCAGCTCTCTACGGTAGTAGAACGGCTTCTTGGCGACTTGTTCATGCCGCGCTTGGAACGTGTAGGGGCGTTCGGCCTTTTCCAATTCGCATGCCGGCAAGAGCATGGCGCTAGAGATGCTTTTTTTATATTTCACTTTGTGTTGGGATCTTGCGCTGTCTGCAGGCGTGACTGTTGCATTGTATTGTTCTGACGTTTCAGGGGCATTTGACCACGTTGCTTCTGATATCTGGTTACAGAAACTACGTGCCTTCAGTGTGCCTGATGGCATTTTGTCCTTGCTCCAGAGCTGGCTACGGCCGCGCGTGGGCCGGGTGTTGGTTGGGGGGCAGCAGTCCAACCCCATTGCAATGCGCGATATGGAGTACCAGGGCACGGTTTGGGGCCCACCGCTTTGGCATTGCCATTGCGCAGACAGTTGCATGGCGACAGAATCTTTGAACTTTGAGGAGGTCGTTTTTGCTGACGACCTCGACGCCTGGAAGGCGCTTCCCGCGGCCACGCCCCCGGAGGAGGCATGCGCGCAGCTCCGCGAGTGCCAGTCCTCCCTGCACGCCTGGGGCCGCGCCAACCGCGTCACTTTCGACGCCAGCAAGGAACATTTTCATCTACTGTCGCGTACTCGCCCTGCTGGCGATGCTTTTAAGATCTTAGGTGTAGCGTTCGATCCAAAACTCGTGATGGTTGGTGCGGTCGAAAGCTGCGTAGCAGCGGCGTCGTGGATAATTCTTAGTATAGTACGCGCGCGCCGCTTCTACAACGATGCGGGGCTTGTGAACTTGTACAAACCCCACGTTCTGTCATTTATTGGATACCGGACTAGTGGAATCTATCGCGCTTCAGCTTCTGTTCTCGCTCCTCTTGACGTGCTCCAAACGCGGTTCTTGCGCTCTCTGGGCATTTCCAAACAGGATGCCTGAGTGCACTTTAACCTTGCTCCGCTTGCCACGCGCTGGGACATCAGTATCTTAGGGGTCGTTCGTCGCGCAATCTTAGGTCTTGGGCCAGCTTGCTTTTTCTGTTTCTTTCGCCTCGACTCGTGTCCGCCCCCACCTCGGGCACCCCTGCGCCACGCGCGACACGTGGTAGAGCCGCCATTTACCAGTCCAGATTTCTTGTTGCATTCCGCGATTGGCGCCACGCGGGTTAACAACTTGCTCCCGCATTACAGTATCCGTGCTCGTGCTGTGCCGCCGTTTCAAAGACGCCTGCAACAAGTCGTTCTGGACCGTGCCAGGGCGTGTGAAGATTGGGAGTCGTCTGTGTCGCCTCGCCTTCCGCTTGCGTCCCGCCCGCTGAGGAACCGCAGGGAATGGCGGCCAAGGTCATGAGTTTGCTACTTGGCAGGCGTCTTCTGCTTCCTCGTCCTCTCTCTCCCCCCCTCTCCTCGTCTCCCCTTCCCTTTCCCCCCCCCTCCCCCCTCCCCCCTCCCTCCCCCCCTCCCTTCCTTCTCTCTCCCTGTCAGCTGCTGCTGTCTCCCGCCGTCGCCCTTCGTGTGTTGTCCTGCTTGCTGCTGTCGTCCGTCGTTCCCGCTCCTTCCCGCCTTCTCCTCCCTCCGGTCCTGTGCGCTGTGTGGTGCGCGGCGGGGGCTTTTTCAAGCGCTGCGCGTCCGGCGCCTCCCGCCCCTTCTCGTCTTCCTCGCTCTCCTCCGTTGTTGTTTGTGTTCTGCTGCTCCTTCCTCCCTCCCCCCCTCCCCCTCCCCCCCCCGAATCCCTGCCCCTCCCCCCTCCTCCCCTTTTCTCCTTTCCTCATTTCGATTCTGGCTATGCGTTTGGCAATGATTTTAAGGCCGGAAGCGACATGTAAGTTTTTACTGGCGTTTCATGAGCAAATCCATCGTTTTGGTTTTGCTTGTATCCGCGCCCTGTATTTCTTGCTGTGCAGCTGTTCTAAGCACGTGGTCAGGTCGCGTCATCTGCTGTGCCGAGGTCGTGAAACTATTACAAAAATACAAAGAATAAAAGTATAACAAAATAGTGAACATTTTAAACAAGAGAAAAATCAAAACATCACTTGAATTATATTCTGGGCTTTGTTTGCATTTATAGCCTTCTCCCCAATTTCATTGTGCGGGCCAGGGGTGCAAATATTTTTCAGTCTTCGTTTCACCTTGTGCTGCGTTGCTATGTCCGCCCCGGCGGCGCATTTGCATGGCAATCCTTGTGTAGTCCGCGCGGCGCTCTTGCTCGCCATGGCGGCCGCCAGCTTTAGCATTGTGATTTTGCTTTGTTCGGCTCGGCCTGTCTCTCTCCCTTGCCCCCTCCCTTCCCTCCCCCTTCCCATCGTTTTTGTTCGTCTGCGTTTGTCGTTCCCGTCGCCTCTCCCTCCTTCCTCTGTCTCCTTCTCCCCGTCCGCCCTGCGTGGCTCGCAGGGTGCGCGCTGTGCGCGATGCCATCGTTGGGGCTCCGCCCCTCCCTCTCGCTCCTCCCCTCCCCTTCTTCCCTCGTCGCGTCGTCTTGTTCTGCTGCGTCTCCCTTCCCTCCTTTCTCCCCCTCCCTCCCCCTGCCCTCTCCTCCCTGTCGTCCTTCCGCTCCACGTGTTGCGCGGCGTTTGCGTGCCCTGCTACCGGGTTCTTCCGGCCGCGTTCTATTTGAAGCACCCGGAAGTTGATGATGAAAATCATTTTTCCGATTGGCCCGGGTGCCCTCCCTCTCTTTTCCCTTCCACCTGCTACCGGCGCGTCGTGCTGGAGGCATGTGCTCTCGCCGCCGACTGAGAAAGCTTTGATTCAAGTAAATGGCGTTCGCCGGTTTGCGGGGAGGTAAAAGATGAGAGGTTCTGCGTGCTCGAGGAGGCGCGGGCCGACGGTGCGCGGGCTGTGGCCCCGACGAAGGAGGGCGGCTCCAACGTGGCGGAGAAGGCCGAGTCGTTCCTCAAGACGAGCTATCAGACCATAGGCCAGAAGCAGAAGAAGGAACTGCTGTTTCCAGACTTGCAGAAGGGCCCGACCAGCGTTCGAAGAAGTACAATGCAGAGGTGGCCGAGGCAGCCGGTAATAACATCGGCAAGCAGCTGACGCAGGCCCAGCGCCGCCGCTTCATTCAGAAGTCTTCCTGCCCTTCCCGGCGTGTTTCTGGCTGCTGGGTTGCGCCGCTCCGCAGATCAAGGACTTCGTCGCGCGCGTCGATGTCAGGAACGACGCCGTTCCGAAGGTGCAGCAGCCGTTTGTCGCTCCTTGCCTTCGACCAGCTGAGGCTCGACTTCCACGAGGACTGCGAGGTGGAGGACGGCAAGGCAGAGTGGGTGCTGCCAGGGCAAGCGGGCCAATGGGGGTCGCCGTCGTTCGTGGTGGACCAGCCGAGCAAGGGCTTGCTGGGTCGCGCGGTGCGCGACTACAGGTACGTCAACAGCCAGACGCTCGACGCGCCGTGGCCTTCGCCCAATGCTTCCAAGTGCCTTGCGCGTGTCACAGCGGGGAGCCATTCACAGCACCCTGGACTGCGTCTGGGGCTTCACGCAGGTTGCGGTGGATGACGAGACAGCCGATCTCCTGCACGTAGTCATAGTACAGTAGAGTTTTTTGTTGTTGTTTGTTTTTCCTTTTTGTTGTATTGTATATATTATTCTTCTTCCTTTTGCTTTCCTTTTCCTTCACTTCTTCCCCATTCCCCCGTCCCTCCTCCGTTTTTTTCTCTACTCCCCCTCTCCTCCCGTCTTCCCTAGTTTCACGCACCCGTCGTGCGCACACGAGGGGCAACGAGTCGTCCTGTTGCCCCCCCGACGGAGTTTGACGCGCAAGTGTGTCACCGCGATGCGCCGTCGTGCCTTGCGGCCAGTGGTGCATGCTCGCGACAGGGTTCTTCGGAGGGGGCCAAGTCTTCAGTCCTTCACATATCCACACCGATTCTGGCCAGGCCGATCCCAGGCCTGGGATCCAGGCGTGGCGTATCCCAGCCTGGCCCAGCCAGGATCGCGCACACACCGATCCTGGGCCCAGCACGGGTTGGGCCAGGATCGGTGTGGGTGCATAGTTGGCTCGCCCTAGATCCTTCGAGTTCCTTTTTTTGTTATTGCTCTTTTTCTATGCGCGCCCCTCGTCGGGCGAAACTGCACCAGAGAATTTGCACCAGAGAACTGCACCTGTTCAGTCTAAACTGCACCAGAGAATATGATGTACGACTGGCCGGCTGGGCGCCTCACTGGCCTGCTGCGCCAGTGCGGCGGTGGGGGATTCGGGGAGGTTCGAGGAGGAGAGAGGAGGAGAGCCTTGAAGGTTCCAGGAGGATCGGGGAGGTTCAAGGAGGAGGAGGAGAGGCAGCAGGCGGGGAGGATCCCCAGAGGCTTGACGACCCTTCCCCAATCCTTTTGCGGTGGGAAAGCCAGACATGTCGATACATAAGTCCCTCCCTGATTGCGTGGCCCCAGGACGTGGAGGCCAGGGAGCGGGCGGCGCACCGCCAGCAGGAGCCTCTTTTGTTGCTACCTTTCTTGTTGGTGGTCGTGCCGCTCTCCTGCATGCAGTGTTCGGGGGACGCCGCGTACACACCGACAGCTTTGTCGCCTTGCTTTGGGGTCTCTCGGAGGCTCTTCGTCGCCACGGCTGGATTCCCTGCGCACTTCCGGTCCAAACGCGCCCAGGGGAAGTCTGGGGGTCGAGTTTGAGACCGATGTAGGCCAGGATGGTCTTGGGCCTTTGGACTGTCTCGGCCAAGGCGGGACGGCGTAAGCTCAGGTCTTGGGCCTGGGGGCGGCCTCGCGAGCCGAGGCTCCGTGCTGGTGCATCGCTGGCGTGCTTCTGGGTGTCGATGTTGGGTGCCCAGGACCTGCGGCGCCCTTCAGCCACGGTGCTGTTCTTTGCATGTTTCTGGGTCTGTGGGAGTCACTTTTCGGTGGCGAGCGCGGGGGGAAGTGAGGAGGACAGGGCCTTCTCAGTAAGCGGCGGGGCTTCCCAGAAGCCCTCGCGCCTTCTGAGAAGTCCTCGGCGTCTTCGGGGAGAGCCCAGAAAGCTTCTCAGGAGGCCGGGGGACCCACGTCCCGAGCTCTCCCCAGCCCCCCGCCCCGCGGAGCGGAGCGACACGCTATTTCACTCGCAGGGCAGAGCGGGTCGCCGGGGTTCGCCCCCGCGGCACGCTGAGCAAGAGATCCCGACCGTGGACGCTCCAGCCTCCAGCGTCCCACACGTTTGGCAGGTGGGGCGTCTACACAGCTTATTGTCTCTTTCTTCCCCTTTCCCTCCGCTTGTCCAGTGGCTGCATTCATGTTTCATTCGTGGCAGATACGTGCTGAATGTTGAGCCTGGAAGTCTATTCGGTACAGGCCCGCACGGGGTCGTCGTGAGCCCACGGCGTTGTGACAACCAGCGTGCCTGTCACCCAGTACGCGCACGACTGTGCCAGCCAACGCCCGAAAGAACGACAGAACGAGAGCGACGTGGTGCATACGGCGAGCCCCTCCCACGGTGGTCTTCGGGTCCGAGCTCGCGCCTCCTGCGGCCGCTTTAGGGACGATCCAGGCGCCCCCGCGGAAGGCCCCCGAGGAGGCGCGGTTGCTGGAGAGGTGGAGGAGGAGGAGCACGACAGGACGAGGAGGAAAATGACCATGATGATGATGATGATGATGATGATGATGATGATGATGATGATGATGATGATGATGATGATGATGATGATGATTATGACGATGATGCTGCTGCTGATGATGATGATGATGCTGCTGCTGCTGCTGATGATGATGATGATGATGATGATGATGATGATGATGATGCTGCTGCTGATGATGATGATGATGATGGTGGTGATGATGATGATGATGATGATGATGATGATGATGATGATGATGATGATGATGATGCTGATGCTGCTGCTGCTGCTGCTGCTGATGATGATGATGATGATGATGATGATGATGATGATGATGATGATGATGATGATGCTGCTGCTGTGATGATGATGATGATGATGATGATGATGATGATGATGATGATGATGAGGAGGAGGAGGAGGAGGAGGAGGAGGAGGAGGAGGAGGAGGAGGAGGAGGATGAGGAGGAGGAGGAGGAGGAGGAAGAGGAAGAGGAAAAGGAGTCCAAGAACAATTGGGTGACGGAAGACAGCGGGGTCGACTGCGCCGACATTCGCGCGTAAGCCTCTCTCGCGAGGTGGCGCGTGAGCGCCCTCTTCTCCGATGTGGCGTGCGCGCTGGCGGCCCGCGGAAGCCGCGGCGCAGGGTCGCTATGCCTTCTCGCGTAAGACGTGCTCTCGTCGCTCAGCAAGCGCCGGTCGACCGCCCCTCGCGGCGCCGCGAGGCGGGGAAACCTCCGAGAACACACGGCGTCGATCGACCGCCCCCTGGCGCCCCGCTCGATCGCGCCCCGCTCGATCGGCCGCCCCGCCCGAGGCCGCGGCGGCCAGGGAACGGGCGGCGATCCGCCTGCAGGCGGCACGCCGGGGCTCCCTGGCGAGGCAGGCCGCGCAGCGCCTGCGGGACCGGGAGCAGGCGCTGGCCAGGCGCCGCCGGGAAGCAGACGGGCCCTGAGGGGAACGGGTTCCCCCAGCAGTTCGCGGGCGAAGCACGGTGGAACAAATCAACTTCTTCGCCGTCGGGGACGCCCGTCCCGAGGCGGCTGGAGAGTTTATACCCCTGCGGCGGCACGTTAGGGCATAGTTCCCAACCATCCTGTGGTGTTGGGTCCTCGTTTTGAAGAGACGTCGCCCCGCGTTCCTTCCTCCTCCTCCTCCTTCCTCCTCCTCCCCTTCCTCCCCCCTCCTCCCCCTCCCACACCCATTCTGGCACACCCCTCACACGTTTCGTGGCCCCATAGGGAGCTCCACCGAAGGCCCCAGTGGCTGCGCCCGCATGCGGTTCCACCCCCCATTCTGGCACACCCCTCACACGTTTCGTGGCCCCATAGGGAGCTCCACCGAAGGCCCCAGTGGCTGCGCCCGCATGCGGTTTCCACCCCCCATTCTGGCGGCACACGTTTCGTGGCCCCATAGGGAGCTCCACCGAAGGCCCCAGTGGCTGCGCCCGCATGCGGTTCCACCCCCCATTCTGGCACACCCCTCACACGTTTCGTGGCCCCATAGGGAGCTCCACCGAAGGCCCCAGTGGCTGCGCCCGCATGCGGTTCCACCCCCCATTCTGGCACACCCCTCACACGTTTCGTGGCCCCATAGGGAGCTCCACCGAAGGCCCCAGTGGCTGCGCCCGCATGCGGTTCCACCCCCCATTCTGGCACACCCCTCACACGTTTCGTGGCCCCATAGGGAGCTCCACCGAAGGCCCCAGTGGCTGCGCCCGCATGCGGTTCCACCCCCCATTCTGGCACACCCCTCACACGTTTCGTGGCCCCATAGGGAGCTCCACCGAAGGCCCCAGTGGCTGCGCCCGCATGCGGTTCCACCCCCCATTCTGGCACACCCCTCACACGTTTCGTGGCCCCATAGGGAGCTCCACCGAAGGCCCCAGTGGCTGCGCCCGCATGCGGTTCCACCCCCCATTTCGGCACACCCCTCACACGCTTCGTGGGTGGCTCCATGGGGAGCTCCACCGAACGCCCCAGTGGCTGCGCTCGCATGTGGTTCCCCCCCCATTTCGGCACACCCCTCACACGGTTCGTGGCCCCATAGAGAGCTCCACCGAAGGCCCCAGTGGCTGCGCTCGCATGCGGTTCCACCCTCTTTTTCGGCACGCCCTTCACATGTCTCGTGGCCCCATAGGGAGCTCCACCGAACGCCGCAGTGGCTGCGCCCGCTTGCGGTTCCACCCCCCATTTCGGCACACCCCTCACACGTTTCGTGGCTCCATAGGGAGCTCCACCGAAGGCCCCAGTGGCTGCGCTGGCATGCGGTTCCACACCCCATTCTGGCACACCCCTCGCACGTTTCGTGGTCCCATAGGGGGCTCCACCAAGGGTCCCAGTGGCACTGCCCGCTTGCGTCCGCCACCACCCAGCACAGCCCTTGTTCCCTGCGCTTCACCCACCCAGAACAGCGCTTCGTAGCCCTATAGGGAGCTCCACCAAAGGTCCCAGCGGCACCGCCCGCATGCGTCCGCCACCACCCTGCGCAGCCCTTGCTCCCTGCCTGCGTTTTACTCACCCAGTACAGCGTTTCGTGGCCCCATAGGGAGCTCCACCGAAGGTCCCAGTGGCACCGCTCGCATGCGTCCGCCACCACGCAGCAGAGCCCTTGCTGACCGCGTCTCGCCCACCCAGTACAGCGTTTCGTGGCCCCATAGGGAGCTCCACCGAAGGTCCCAGTGGCACCGCCCGCATGCGTCCGCCACCACCCAGCACAATTGCGGCATTCACAACTGCATATGGTTGGGTCCTTCGCCAGGCTAATTTTTTCAGCCGCCCTGGCACGGGCTCTCCTGGTGTCATGATGTGCCAACCTACTTTAGCCTTGGTCACCAGTAATACTTTCGAGCACCAAGAAAGTACTGAAACTGGAGGATTTTCACGTGTCAGGCCCTGGGAGGTCATACTCGTTCGACACCGTTTCGGTACTCTTCTGAGTGCTCGAAATTCTTTCTGGGAGGTGGCCCTCAAGTGCGATGTGAACAACATCATCTTGTTGACGGACCCATTGACTTTGCACCGTGCTTCGCCCGCTACGCCGGGGCGGCTGGAGAGGTTGTACCCCTGCGGCGGCACGTCGGGGGATAGATTTTCCAGCCGCCCTGGGACGGGCGCTCCCGGTGACTGACACGTTCCTTTTGCACCGTGCTTCGCCCGCTGGGCCGGGGCGGCGAAGTCCAGCTGTGTCGGACTGTGTCCACCCTCCCCAGGGCGCGAGGAGACCATCGCGGCGAGAGCGGCCTGCGGCCGTTCTCTCGGCACCGAGGGGGGGGCCCCCTCGCACGGGCCTCGCGGGGCCGTCGGCAGAGCGCCCCAGGACGAGGGTGCTGACCCCAGGGAGAGGGTCGGGGGCGGCAGAGAGGGGGGTGAGGACTAGGGGGGGGGGTGGATCTCATGGCGTGGGCCATGATATTTCGCCAGATTTCATGGTGCCTCTTCTTGTTCCGTTACGTCTCCGCCCCCCTCCCCTGGGCCGCGCACATGTCGCCGGCCATGATTTGCGCCCCTCCCCTCTGGAACGCGCCCGGGAGAGGGTCAGGCGTCGACGCCGCGACGGAGTAGCGACGTCGGAGCGCTGGGCGCTGGGAGCTTTCGCCGCTTTGCCTTCCCAGTGCTTCGCCGCAGGGCTCTGCTGGAGATCGGGGATTTCTCTTGCTAGAGTCTCCACAGAGTCGGGCCGGGGAGAGGCGTCTCCCAGGCCTGGCGGCGTGTGCTGGCAGCGCTCGCTATGGTGTTCTGGCACGGCTTGGTTTGAAGTGCGATTCGCCATGGCGCTCCGGCTCGATCTGGTCCAGAAGTGAGGCTCACTTCGGTGTTTGGCCTGATGTAGTCATGGCTCTGGCTCTGGCTTGGATCTGGTCCAGAAGCGAGGCTCGCTCTGGTGTTCTGGCTCCCTTTGGTGTTCTGGCTCTGGCTTCGGCTTGGTCCAGAGGAGGAGGCCCACCATGGGTGTCTCACGCCCCCCAGGGGCTCAACCTTGAGCGAGAAGCTGTGGGCACCTTGGGCCAGGAGCATCACGCGAGGAGCGGGGGGCGGTTATCGCACACCCTTCGGTCAGCGGCCGCGAGTGGCCGGGCGACGGTCGAGGAACGGCGGGGCGCGCCGGGAAACACGCCGCACGGGAGGGGGTGCAGGGCGCGGGCGGCCGGGGGGAGCCGGGGGAGGGGAGGCCACAGCGCCTGGAGACCCAGAAGGGTCGGTATCGTTACTCCGATGCCCGCCCCCATCTCCATCGCCCTCGAGACCCCCAGCAAAATGCCCCCCTCCGTTGGGGACACACCCCTAGAAGCCCGAAGAGAACGACCTAGATCCCCATTTGGGGGGGCAAGTCGGCCAGCGGGGCCCAGGCCACGCCGCCGGGGATGGGGATCGGTTGAACGATACGCAAAGGGGTAGGCGGACACGGGGTCCCCGGAGTTCCCGACCCTGCTCCCGGGACGGGTCTTCTGCACTTTGGGTCGTCCCTTGACGGTCCTGCGAGGGCCCCTGGAGGCCGAGAGCGGGCCAAGACTTTGCGTCGTGCTCTCTCCCTCCACGGCGCGAGCACTGCGGGCCCCCCTCCAGTACATGGACATTGTATTCGAACCCTGTGGCCCAAGATGCCCCCCCGACCCCCCGAAATGAATATTGATGGCGTGGCGACGGGGGGGGGCGCGAGTGGACAGAAATATTCGAACCCCACAGCACCGCCTTTCCTGAGATCAACATTGCTGTCGGGGGCGCGGGGGTGATTTAGAATCTCCTTCGAATGTGTGAGGGTTCGAATGTATTGTCCATGTACGGTCCCTCCGCGGATCCAAGTTTTTTTGGGTGCCGCTGTGCGCGGCTGGCCCGTGTTCGCGACACAGGGCCCTGGCCCGCCCAGAGGGGCGTTGACGCTGGCCAGCGTTCAGTCGGGCACGTCCCTCGACAGGAAGAATGTTCAAGAAGAGTAGGAGATCGTCAGGGGACGATTTGTCGCGCTCTTCGCCTGCAGGATCAAGTCGGGCACGTCCCCCTGCAGGAGGAATATGCAGAAACAGTAAAAAATAGTCCGGGGACGATTTTTTGAGCCTTTTTGGCAATTTCTGCATATTTTTTGACTCTTCTTTATTTTTCGTCCAAAATCCGCCTGTAAGGGGACACGCTCGACCTAACTGTAGGAGGACATGCCCGACCTAAGATCGGCGGCGAGCGAGGGGGGGAAATGAGGAGGAGGAGGCCTTCTCAGAAGGCGGCGGGACTTCCCAGAAGCCCGCGCGCCTTCTGAGAAGTTTGTTGGTTGGCCTCCTGGGAAGGCTCAGGAAACTTCTCAGAAGGCTGGGGGTCTTCGGAGCCTTCCGAGAGGGACCGCCTCGTCACGCTCCCCCCCCGCGCTCGCCGCCAGCAAGACCAGCGCGTCCCCGAAGGCAGCGGGCGGCGACCCGCCTTCAGGCGGCCAGGCGGGGCTCCGTGGCGCGGCGGCAGGCGCCCCGGAGGGGAGGGGGAGACGAGGAGGCTCGAGGAGGACCTTCTTTTCACAGCCGGGATTTCCTCCCTCTGACGGGCCGATTCCCCACCACCAGTGCCACAGGTATGAGACGGCGGAGGAGGAGGAGGAGGAGGAGGAGGAGGAGGAGGAGGAGGAGGAGGAGGAGGAGGAGGAAGGAGGAGGAGGAGGAGGAGGAGGAGGAGGAGGAGGAGGGGAGGGGGCGAAGGAGGAGGAAAAGGAGGACTTCCCCATTCTCCCTTCTCCCCCGTCCTTCCTATGGCAGCGGTGGTGAAAAGTTGGCCCATCGCCTCTCCCCCTCCCTTCAATCTGAGCTTTCAGTGTATCTCGCAGTCACGATGCACGTCTGAATCCTCCAAGAAGCCATGGCCTCCCCCACCCGGTCTGAACTGAGCAGGGACGACTGACTGTCCGCAGAGGTGGTTCGTTCGTTCGTTCGTTCGGCATCACCCAAACATGCTGAGAGTGTGTGTGTGTGTATGTTGGGTGTGTGTGTGTGTGTGTGTGTGTGTGTGTGTGTGTGTGTGCGTGCGTGCGTGCGTGGTGTGTGTGTGTGTGTGTGTGTGTGTGTGTGTGTGTGTGTGTGTGTGAGTGTGTGTGTGTGTGTGTGTGTGTGTGTGTGTGTGTGTGTGTGTGTGTGTGTGTGTGTGTGTGTGCGTCGGCCTCCCAGGGGCGACTGTGCGCGCAGAAATCTTGCAGCATCTGCGCGGTGGCGGGCGCTTCCTGGCCACACCGCGCGGGTAACGATATACGTATCACCCCGCAGTTGCGGATAAGATCGCAGGCCTAGAGATTGGCACCAACACCAATATCGGCGGCGTGCCGCCACTGAGGGAAGAAGATCCCGATCTCGGTGATGGTGGTAATATTCTGGCTTCCAGTGTGACCGACATATTACCACCAACACCGAAATCTAGGATCATCTTCCCCCTGTGGAGGCGACCCCCTGTGTTGGTGTTGGTGCCCATTTCCAGGCCTCCTATAAGAGTGAGGGGGCGGCGGGGTCGTCGGCGGTCTTCGAGGCTCTGAAGAAGCCCGCCGCAGGCGCCGAAATTTCGTCAAAGCAGTGCAGTTGGTCCGCAGGTGGGTCGCGGGTGGGTCGCGGGTGGGTCACGGGGTGGGTCGCGGGGTGGTTCGCGGGGTGGGTCGCGGGCGGGTCGCAGGCAAGTGTCCGTTCGCATGCCATTCAGCATGTATCTCCCAAAACCTCGAGAGCCGCCCTCTTCGTCTTCGATCGTACCCCCCTCGGGGGGCGTATCTTTAGTTGGCGCAGCCCCTAAAACAGGGGAGGGGACGGAGGAGGGAAGGGAGAAAGGGGGGGGGGGGAGAATGATGTAGCACGACAGAGATTCGCAGGACCAGGGTTGATGCCAGGAAGCCAAGCGGCAGATCCAGACGGGTGGGTCGGGCGGGCGGACCCTAACAGGCGGGTCGGGCTGGCGGGCCCAGACGGCCGGGTCGAGCGGGCGGGTCGCTGAAGCATCATGTAGTCTTGCATGAATTCGGAAATCCCGGGCGATAGCGCGATTCCTTTGTCAATCGTAGGGAAGTCCAGAGCGCGAGCGTGATTCCTGAGTGTGGAGGGCGCGGCGTTTCAATAAATTGCAAGGGAGTCCCACGCGAGAGCGCGATTCCTGGATACACTGTGAGGAAGTTTCAGGCGAGAGCGCGACTTTCAATACATTGTAAGGAAGTGTCAGGCGGGAGCCGCTGTTTTTGTAAACTGGTGGCCAAAGACCCAGTCTGATGCTCAATAGTTTCCCTTGCAGAAACAGGGTGCGAGCTCCAGGAGGGGCACTCCAATTGAACAGCGTATGGTTCACTGGAAGGTGTTTGTTTTGTTTTGTGTTTTTTTATGCACTCGCGAAATCAACAACACAGCGCAACAACAATCCGCACCGTGGATTCCCATGTCAGCCACGCGCTCAGGGACGGTGAAGGACCGTTCGGCCCCCCACTCTGACTAGATGTTGGTGCCATATGTTCGGTCCAGTCGTGCGCTTCCAAGGGGTGCGCATCGTGCCACTATGTCCGTCTGCGCCCCCCATGGGGTGCCGACACGGGGGCGGCTGGCTCACACCAGTCGACCTGGAAGAAGGGCGGCCGAGGACAGACTCTGGGACGCGTCCGAGGAGCGATTCTGTGCGATCGCGGAGCCGGAGGAGGCGGAGAAGTCATGCTTCGGGGGGGTGGTAACGGGGGGTGACCTTACGGAGGGGTGAAGAGAGGGGCCCCAAAGGGTTATGGTTTAGGGACTTTAGGGGCCCTTCTGGCTCCAAAAGGGGCCCCAAAGGGCCCCTCTAGGGCCCTTTTCTTTCCCCCCCCCTATGTAGGTCACCCGCCATGCCCACCCGCCCGAAGATTGGGATTCATGCACTTCCTTGGTTTTCGTTTCCCTTGGGGCCTCCGGCGGGGGCACGCCGCCACGCGGCTGGATCCGCCCCGGAGCCCCAGCCGGAGCGCGCCCCAGGAGAGGCCCAGGGAGCAGCAGTGGCGGCACTCCATCGGCGAGCACAAGCGGATCTACAGCCGACCCGCAGTGTAAGGATGAGCTACTTCCCAAGGCTACCCTCGCATCCTTCTCCATCAGCTCATCCTTGGTCACGTTCGCTGGCCGCGCCCCGGCCGAACGGAAGGGGGGGATAGGGAAAGTGGGTGTTACGAAATCTGCTGCATGCAGCTGGTTTCGGCCCCGCCGCCGGGCCCATTCCTCGATACACGGGCGCCTCCCGGCGCTGGGGGCTAGGTAGAAAATCAGCCATGTGAGCTGATTCTCTCTACCCTACCCTTTGCCTTCCCTCCTCTCGTTACCCCCCGAGCGCTCCGCTCGCAAAGTGTCGACGTGGCCTTCCAAGGCCCCTGCATCCTCGTGCAGCGGGCGTCCCCGTCACACGGGCCGGCCGCAGCAGGGACGGGCCGGACTCGCCGCGGCGCAGCGCAGCACGCGCTCCCAGCGCGCCGGCGGCGCGGCGGGCGCCGGGACCGCACGGGCTGCCGAGCGTCGGGGCCCAAGAGACGGGGGCCGGTGCAAGCGGGGGCTCCGTCGGAGCGCTGGCTCCTGCAGGGCTCTGCGGGGCTGGGGGCGCGTGGGCCCCGGCTTGGGTGCAGGGCCCTGCAGGATATCCTGCGGAGCCTGGCCGGCCCGGGTCTGGACGGACCCGGGTCCGTCGATCCCCTGTGAGCGGCAGCTGTCTAAAAGTCCACCCGTGCTTGCGGGCAACTCATTCTGAGATCCGACGACGCGATCGAGTGGCAATATCGTGCACGATCGCGACCAGAGCTCCACATGCTAGTGTTCTGCGGCATTTCTCGACCTGGGCCGATCTGTGAGGGTGCCGCAGGCCCGAAGCCGAGCGGAAGCGCCCCTTGTGAGAACGT